ATATTAAGTAGTTGAAATTATGATGAATGTGAACTAGCTCTGACATTCATTAGTTATGTGATCTTAGGCAAGTCATTAAACCACAAGAATTCCCTATTTCTATTTGTAAAATAAGGGGGAAGTCATGTTATTCTAAAGGATTAAGGCATGTGGCACTGTCTCTGGCACACAGACGGCACTCCAGGACTACTAGAGTTGTTACTGCGAGAAAACATTCTGATAAGTCCTGTATGGTTTAACAAGTTTTAGGAAATCTAGAAGCCAGGGCAGATTTAGGAGAAATGAATGATACCTCCTCCTGAGGTCAACCAAATTCTCTGATTAACAGGACACACAAAATTCATTTTTAAAGTTTCTACATTATCTCCTAGTTAAAAAAAAAAATTCAATCTATCTTCTCAAATGCTCATATTACAATTAAGAGGTACTTGAGAAAGAGTGGTATTTCTTTCTTTTGAACATCTGTATACTTGGATTTGTTTATTATACAAATAAAATCCCTAAGTTCAAGTTAAGCCTAATTTTTAAAAATTCCAAATTTGTTATCTGTAACTACAGATAAATTAGACACTTGAAATTAAGAAAGAGAGAAATTTAAGTGCTTAAAAATTAAAATTACTAAGCACAACATACATACAGAAAAGGAGAAGAATTTGAAAATCTAGTTTTTAGAGTACATAAAATGTACTGAAAAATGGGCTGAAAAATGCCAGAAGATAAAGTTGCCCTTACAAGGCGAGAGAAAAATTTTGTGTGTCCTGTTAATCAGAGAATTTGGTTTACCTCGGAAGGAGATATCATTCATTTCTCCTAAATCTGCCCTGGCTTCTAGATTTCCTAAAACTTGTTAAACCATACAGGACTTATCAGAATGTTTTCTTACAGTAACAACTCTAATAGCCCTGGAGTGCCGTCTGTGTGCCAGTGCTATTGTATTACAGGTATTAAATGGGAGTTTTAAAATATCAACTCAAATTAGATGCTGAAAGAGGGAAGGCAGGAGAAAGAAGAAAGTAGCTAATATCAATGTTGCCCAGAACAGAGAACCATGAGACAATAACCAAAATATTAAGGTTAATAAATAAAAGACAATGCTGTTTTATAACAATATTAACATAAAGGTAGTCAACAAGGTGGAGGAAGAAAGAAAATCTTAATAAATGCCAATAATTTTGTCTCTAGCAAACAGAGGATACGTGAAGCCATAGCATGGTTTTCTAGCGGGGGAGGGGGGGAGGACCCACTCAACTATGTAAAGAAATCTAAAAATTATTAACAGAATCCTATAAAAGAAACTGAGGAAAGGAAGCCAAAAACACAAAGAAGGATCAGAAAAATAAGATGTTACAAAATTCTCAGGATGAGACTTTTTCTAGAAGAAAATATTAGACAAGAGAGTCGAGTCCTGTGGCGAATCAAGGTAAAGACTAACTGTCCTGTGGGTTGTGCATAGGGAGGCAGCTGAGGACCTCACTGAGGGCAGCTCCTGTGGGAGGCTGAGGTGGGAGTCAGATCACAGCGGACTGAAGAATGAAAGGGTAAGTTATTCTAAAGAAGTTTGGCTGCAGGATAACCTCGGGTTAAGTGAAAAAGATCTGTTCGTTTGTTTTGTTTTAATTCATGGAAGGAGCTGGGATATGTCGTAATGTTGATGAGAGCGAGGGTAGAGGAGGGGAACCAGAGCTCAGGAGAGGAAAGAGTCTTAATAAGAGGATGGCTACCGATGCAAGATTCATTGGAGATTTGGTGCCAGGAAGACAGGGATGTCCCCACGTAAGAGAGTAAAACTCTGTTCTGAAGTCGGAGGCAAGACCATACCTAAGAGTGGAGGTACAGATGGCAGGGTTACATCCCTGGTTCTCAGCTAAAGGGTTATTTTGCCCCTTTCCAGGCAACATTCAGCAGCATCTGGAAACACTTTGTGTTGCTACGTCTAGGGGCTGGGGGTGATACTGGCATCTCTGAAGTAGAGGCCAGTAACACTGCTAACCAGTATACAAAGCACAGGGCAGGGCCTCACAACAGAGAATCAGCTCACCCAGATGCCAGCAGTGAGAGGTTCACAAACTCTGGGTTAGCATTCGAGGAGGTTGAAAACATTCACTGAGGAGAGTGGGGAGCTGACTGTGGAATCACGGCAGCTTTAAAACAGTCAGTGCCCACTAAAGAATGGAGAGCAGTGGTTTTAAACAGCAACAATCTGCACTGTTGCATAATTCTCACCAACAGTATTAAGCAAAAACGTGGAGAACTGAGAAGTTTGACTGATACATGGATGGGATCTTACCAAGGGGGTGCATTGGAAGGACAAGGGAATTGAAGATCTCGGTAAGAGATCCATGGTCCACGGAAGTAATGGAACATGGGCTCTAAGCTAGGTAAAGGACGGTACGAAACAAAAGGTTGCTGAAAGAAAGAAAAAGATAGGGAACCTGGAGTTTCCTATAAATTTGAAATATGTGCAGTAGGAAAAGATAGGGAACCTGGAGTTTCCTATAAATTTGAAATATGTGCAGTAGGAAAAGATAGGGAACCTGGAGTTTCCTATAAATTTGAAATATGTGCAGTAGGAAAAGATAGGGAACCTGGAGTTTCCTATAAATTTGAAATATGTGCAGTAGGAAAAGATAGGGAACCTGGAGTTTCCTATAAATTTGAAATATGTGCAGTAGGAAAAGATAGGGAACCTGGAGTTTCCTATAAATTTGAAATATGTGCAGTAGGAAAAGATAGGGAACCTGGAGTTTCCTATAAATTTGAAATATGTGCAGTAGGAAAAGATAGGGAACCTGGAGTTTCCTATAAATTTGAAATATGTGCAGTAGGAAAAGATAGGGAACCTGGAGTTTCCTATAAATTTGAAATATGTGCAGTAGGAAAAGATAGGGAACCTGGAGTTTCCTATAAATTTGAAATATGTGCAGTAGGAAAAGATAGGGAACCTGGAGTTTCCTATAAATTTGAAATATGTGCAGTAGGAAAAGATAGGGAACCTGGAGTTTCCTATAAATTTGAAATATGTGCAGTAGGAAAAGATAGGGAACCTGGAGTTTCCTATAAATTTGAAATATGTGCAGTAGGAAAAGATAGGGAACCTGGAGTTTCCTATAAATTTGAAATATGTGCAGTAGGAGTAATTTGGTAAAAGATATGAAATGACAAAATATGATGGTCAGAAGCTGAGAAATAGCCTTAGTATTTCTTTTTCCATACAGTAAGATGATGGCAATGTCCAGACTGGACCCAATGGATAGGCAGATAAAGTGCCCTGAAAATAAAGGTCACTGGAAGTGAGAACGATAAGGACCTGAGAGGCCAGAGTGATGAACACATCACAGAAGGCCAGCACGGTACAGTGTGTATCCCTAAGTCCCATATCATTTTGTCACTAAACATATCCAGGTGAGGCAGCAACAAAAATTATAATAATTCGAACCAAAGGGCTTCTGGCAGGGTCTAATACTAGAAAGGCCAATCAAGGAATCAGTCACACAATCCACCAGCTAGGTGCTCAACAGTTATATAAAAACCCAGCTCTTTAACCCTGGCCAGTGTGGCTCATATGGTTGGGCAGATACCCGCGCACCAAAAGGTTGCTGGTTCAATTCCCGGTCAAGGCACATACCCGGGTTGTGACCTCTGTCCCAGGTAGGGGGCATGCAGGAGGCAGCTGATCAATGTCTCACTCTCACATCAATGTTTCTTCCTTCCTCACTCTAAAAACCAATATAATATCTTAAAAACCAAAACCAAAACCCATCTCTCTAAATTTAGGGTTGGTCAATAGCCAGAGTCCCAATAATATTCTTTCAGGGCACCATCTTACTGGTTTTTGCATTGACTGGATAAAGAATGAATGAGATTATTCAAGAGTAAAAGACCATTTTTTGAGACAAAAGGGTGCTTCAGTGTGTCAGGCGGTGGCCAGTTACCTTCAGTTAAATATTCTGCAAGGTACAGCAGGGAAATTGAGACCCAGAACTTAGATTCTTAACAGGTAGACTTGAGATAGAAAGCAGAAAATAGGTGCTAAAATTACCAAGGATAGAGGAGAAATGCCCAGAAAGTCACTAGACAAAAGCAATACAGGAGATTGCAGTATAACCTGTATGCCTAAGAGATAGCTAAGATGGCTATTTTCTTCTCAGCTTTGGGCTGTTGCTCTAAATGCTACTGGTAGAATCTGGCACTGTTGCCAAAAAACCACCTGAGGGAGCTCATTAAAATCTTAGATTCCAGAACTCATTTCAGACTATGGATCATTAAATTTTTACATATTCCAGGAATCTAAATTTCTAACAGTTCATGCATCTGGTACAGGATTGAAGTTTGGGAACTAGTAGTATCTGCTACTTCATATTGTCACACCTCTTCTCAACTCATCCTCTAAAGTTTAATTATTATAGTTCATATTCATTGAAAACTCACTACAAGCCAGAGGCATTTCTAAGCACTTTACACATATTTATTTTATTCAATGCTCCCAACAAATGTACCATGTAGATGTTATTAACATGTTCAACTTAAGATAAAGAAATTAGGCAATAAATTTGACATCTGAGCTGTCTGATAAGAGAGCCCCTTCTCTTTCCAACTGTGCCATCATGATAAAATTAGCTGACTAAAGTGAACTTTTTCCTTCTACTTTTAACTGCAGTTTTATCCTGTATATTGCTAAAAAGTCATCACATGTTCATCATAAGCTCTGAATGGTGGTGATACTTTTTAATGAAAAGAGGGAAATTAAAATTTAATAAAATCAGTTTGGCAAACAAAACATTTCAAACACAATGTGGTCATAATACACTGGAAGTCCATATTGGTAAAGTTCCAAATAATTCCTATAGCCCTCCTCACACTTATTACTACTTCTTTCATTTCCTTAGTTCTAATATCAGATATGAGTTTAACTAGGAAGTTGATCAGTTCAAAAATAGGGGAAAACAAGAAACATACGTTCACCTCTTTAATATAATTAAACTCGATATTTGAATACTTACATTTAATTCATTTTTTAGCATGTCTTCAAGATGATGACCTACATGGTCTTTATCTTCTTTGGTGTCCATAACTATGCAAATCTGTTGTGAAATTCTTTCTGAGGCACAAAATTTAAAGAAGAAATAAGTTTCAAAGTTAAAATGGAACAAAGCCCTAGTAAACTGAAATCTATGTTTAGCTGCTGTTCATAGCTATTGAACACAAAGAGGAAGGTTTTAGCTTCGGGCCAAGTGAAGTGACTTAGACTACACACTGAGATGTCCTTGACTCCTTTAACTCCCAAGTCAATAAATCTATCTATTTTACACTTTGTGGGTAGCTAACCAGGACATGTGTACATTTGAAAAGGAGTAACTGGAGGTGATAGCCACTTGGTTCACTGATTCCATGTTTCCACATTTCTAAGGAGCCTTAGAGATTATGATAACATCCCCCATCTCCCAAGCAAATCCTCTGTTTAGGTTGTATCTCCTGTGCACAGCTCACTGTGCCACCTAGTGTTCTGGTTAAGTACAGCATTTTCCTTGGCTTTCCTCTAAATTCGATTTAATACAATTAAGTTCCTACCTGCTGAACTATTACCACAAGTAAAAATGCCAAATGGATTTTCTTCAAATTTGAAAGTCTTCTTTGTCATGATCTGATTTAAAAACATAAGCCATATGACATAGTGATGTTCACTTTTATAAACCTTGGATCACTCCCCCAAAAGACATGCAGTCCTCCTGTACAGTAGACAGATCTGAAATACTAAGAAACAGCTAAATTGCTGCCAGTCAAGGAGACACTGCATGGTATTATGTCATGGCTGAAGAGAAAAAGTGGAATTTTAAATAGGAACCCCAAATCAAAGTTAGTTTAACATGTGACCCAGCTGCTTCTTACATGGGCAACTCTATAAAACATGCCTTAAAAAAACCATTGATCTGGCAATAGTTAATGAGTCTTCCAAGCAAAGCTGGGGAGCACAGACCATTTAAAATAATAATATCACCAGTTAATAACGCTTTTATTACTAACTACTTCCCATCCATCAAGAATATTACAGTAAATGTTGAGAGAAATTTGGACTTTGTCACGACAAAATTTCAGACAGATTTTCAAATGCCTCTTTCTCTCTCTCACACACACACACACACAATTATAATGATTAATTTTTTATTATATGGGAATCGTAAAAGACCCTACATTATGGGATTTTAGTGATAATCAAATCAGTTAGTATGTATAAAGTTACGTAGAGTGCCTGATGCAAGTAAATCCCAATAAATCACAGAACTGTTTTTGTTGTTACGGTCATATACACTCAATAAGTATACAAAATAAGATTCATTTTGTCTACTTAAAACATAACCCATCTCTAACTTCAAACTGTCCCTTGTGGTCTTACTATTTCAGAGTTGGTAAATAATCTCTATAAACTTTATCCCACTAAGGCTTCTTTTCAAATATCAGTTTTACCAAATATGCGGTAGTTACGTGTAATATTGGAATATACGTCTTGAGTAATAAATAACCTATGTTTCCATCCTGAATTCCTTTAAAACTAAAATGGATACCTTCTACTTAGGACGTTCGTATCTGAGTTTATCTATTAAAACTAGGTTGAAGCATCCTATGTGATTTCTATTAATTCTACAAACACATACTGACAGTCTTAACTGGGAATGTTACTGTACCAAGATTTTCATCAAAAAGAAGACAACAGTGCCAGGCTGGCGTGGCCCAGAGGTTGAGCATTGACCTAGGATCCAGGAGATCGAGGTTCGATTCCCGGTCAGGGCACATGCCCGGGTTGTGGGCTCGATCCCCAGTAGGGGGCGTGCAGGAGGCAGCCGGTCAATGACTCATCGTTGATGTTTTTCTCTCTCTCTCTCTCTCCCCCTCTCCCTGAAATCAGTAAAGATACATTCAAAAAAAAAAAAAAAGACAACAGTGATGTCTATACTTGACCATACATCTGGAAGGCCAAGATGAAAAAGAAAGTAGCTACAGGAACAGAGTTCAAACACACTGAACCTCTTCAACTCCATAGTTTTTCTAGAATTTCCCAACTCACACAGAGAGAAAAAATATATATAGTATTTAAATTTCTTTTTTCATGAAGCACACAACTCTTTCCAAACATAATATGATTAATCCTCATTGTTTCTCAAAGCAAAGTCTTTAACATCTTCCTTGAGGTTAATGATGAAATCAAAACAAAAATAGAAGCCTTTAGAATTCTTAGTCTGCGGTTCTATTAATATAGCACGTCTTAGAAATTTTTAGAAATTAAAACAAAAGCCCTGGTGAGAACTATAAAATTATGTTACTTCCCAGAATCATAAAAACCTCTAACACAAGAATCTAGTCTTTGTTCTCTCCCCTGAAAAGACTTAAAGATAAATTAGAAAAATATTGGAATTAACATTAAATCATACCTGACCTGTCAACTTGATGACTAATATTAACCCGAGTTTTAGTTTTCACACTGCCTTCTAGCTTTTAAAAATCTTCCTAAAAGAACACTTGTGGCACATTATAAAATATTTTGATAACTGAACCCTTAGGATACATTCCCCCCCTGAAAAAAGTATTTTTAACATGCACTTTCTGATTTAAACTGAATAAGTCATTTATATACAGCATCTGAGTGTCACATAGCTCAGTGTGACTTAACAGAGAGAAAATTCAAGCTGGAACAAGACTTGAAGTCTACAGGTTAGTATTAAAAGCTATAAGGATTAATTAATAAGTTCACATTTTTCAGTTAATACCTTATCCCCATGTGTGAGAACTTTTAAATGGTCAAGGTATAGTGAACAATTGCCAATGCAGTCATTCCCCCCTTATCTGCTGGGTATATGTCCCAAGACCTCCAGTGGATGCCTTAAACCACAGATATACCAAACCCTCTATATACTGTTCCTTCCTATACAGACACACCTATGACACAGTTTCATTTATAAATTAGGCACAGTAAGTGATTAACAGCAACAATAATAAAACTATAACAAAATACTGTAATAAAAGTTATGTGAATGTGTTCTCTACTTTCTTTTATCTTCATGGTTTCTGATGAGAAATCTACAGTTATTTAAATTCTTGTTCCCCTACAGACAATCCATCATTTCCAACGACTTTCAAGACTTTTATTTTGTGTTTACTTTCCAGCAGTTTGATTATGAACTGTCTGGTGTGGATTTCTTTGGGATTATCATGTTGGAGTTACCTGAGCTTCTTCAGTCTGTAGATTGTCTTCAACCAAATTTGGGGAATTTTTAATCTAGTATTTCTTCAAATATATTTTTTCTATACTGCACTTTCTTCTCTCTTTCCCGGATGGAGACGAACTATTATTTTCCCACATATGCTGAGCACTATTCATTTTGCCCCCAATCTCTTTTCATTCTGTCACTCTGACTGAAAAATTCTGATCTACTTAACTTCACTGACACTTGCTCTGTCATCAACATTTTGTTTTTTATTTTGGTTACTACATTTTTTTCAGTTCTAAACTTCCACTTGGCTCTTTATGTTTTCTATGCCTTTGCTGAGACTTTCCATCTTTCATTTCAAAAGTGTTCCCATGGCTGTCTAACTACCATGCTGTACACCTGAAACTAATACTAAATAATATTGAATGCAAATTGTAATTGGAAAAAAATTTTAATTTTTAAAAAAGCATTCCCCCTTATTTATTGTAGCAATTTTATAATCAGTGCTTTAAAGTATTTGTCAGATAATTCCAACATCTCTGTCATCCCAGCATGGGTATCTATTGATCGTCCTTTGCCATGTGAGTTTAGGTTTGCCTGGTGGCTGGTGTGCCAAGTGATATTGGATTATATCCTGTCTATTTGGGTAATACCCTCTTCTACCACAGCCTCTCCTGTATGTTCCATTTCTCTAATGCAGCCCTCTTCAGCAATCCGTAATATGTTCTCATAAGTGTTCAATTCCAATGTTATTTTAACTAAAGGCCTTCATAAATCTAATAATTTATGAATGAGACCAAAATTTAATTTATAACATACTCATTTTTTAATAGTTCCTCTTGGTATACATAAAGTATACTGTTTTTGTTCAAGGGTTAAAAAATAGATGCAATTTGGAGTCTTTTCATTTTGCCTCACAAAATAGTAATATGTATAATTTCTGATATGCACAGCTTCCTCTTTACCATATGGCAGGCGCACTGACAAATTAACAAGGAGAAAAAATATCTAGACATTTGCCTCCATTAATTAATGATCAGTAGAGACTCATGAGCACCCAGGGTGGTGTTTGTGTTTTACAAGAAATTTTCAAATAGCATGGAGAAGAAATAAACTTATTAAATATTGTTAGTTCCACAAGCAAGTGAGAAAAAAATCCAGAAGTCAGCCTTCAATTTTCTTAGAAACATTTAACACCATGATGTCCACAAGGCCTTGTTATCCACTATACAGACCTTGGGAGCCAAAATTTTAGTGTTCTTAGCCAAATAAAAACAACTATATCAAATCCAACCACAATCCTTTCCAAAAGATGTTTCAAGCCTTAATCCCTTCAAAGTAAGGGCAGTTATCTGTCTCACATGAAAAGTTTTGAAGTTGTATTATTAAACAGAATCACCACTGTTGAACCTTGAAGTCCCTGACACAGTCTCACCTGTAGAAAGATGCCTAAGGTTCCTCTGAACACCTTGATAGAGGAAGCTATTAGACCAGGAAGGGGGACAGCAAGGAGTTAATAAACAAAGGCAGCCAACAAGCCATGACTGCAGGACAAGTGGACAACAGGGACGGTAAACAGAGACTCACAACAAAACCATACATCCCACATGAAAAGGTTAAAGTGGTCTTCTGAGAAGTGAGCTCCACTGTTGACATGTTTCAACTGGAGGGCACTGGTACGTAGTAAGGTTTTTTAAAAAGATGTTTTATATCAGATCTTAACCACATGTTTAAATGAGTCACTAAATACAGGATGAAGTTTCCTACCTTAGAAGTAAGGAACATACATGTGACATCTTGTTTCCTGCACGTCTTTTTACACATATTACTGGTTTCCAAGTAAAGATGCAGTACTTTTTTTTTTTTCCTTTTCAAAGAATATACAGTTTCTCAGTTA